CCCTTCTAGGAGCTACGGATAGGGCTTTCCGAGAGCTATCCAAGGACCATACTGGCGTGTCCAAAAGTGCCAGGATCGACTCGACATTGAAAATCGCATACTAAAAGTTGTCCGCTGCGGGGTATGGTATACTTGAGAATCCCAAACCAACATCTAGGACCGGGACTCCCTTCTTAGGGTGACCTGTTAGAGCTGTTCCAGAGCTAACAAACGACCGTATCGGCGTCTCCATACGTCCATCGGTTGGCTCAACATTCCAAAATTCCGTTAGAAGCTATTATGCCCCAGCCAAACACATTCGGGAACCCTAACCTATAAGTCACCAGCCGCCCCTACAACCCCAATGTCCCGTACATCTAGTAGCCCTTGTATTTCCCTGTCCAACGAGCTTTGCAAGTGCCCAGAGCCTCAATACCCAAACCCGACATCCAGGTGACGGGTAAGCCAAAGCCATCCGCGTCCCAGCTAACACTCGGGAACAGTCTCCTGATCGATCCCTCTGTTCCCTGTTCCATACGTATCTAATAGAGCTCTCTCTCTTCCATCACATACGCGTTCGGGATTGGTCATAGCCGCAGTGCCCAACTCGACATCCTAAGTCTACGGCCCAATCCCCATCTCAGCCAGATACACTGGGAATCATGACCCATAGATCGACACGCCTGTGTCATACGGATTGGATGAGGACCGCCTTCCTCTACCGGGAACACGTTTCATCCTGAGCCTAACTGCAATACCCAACTCGACATTCAAATTACATACCAAAATGAAGTGGCTGCACAGCCAAATACACTTAAAGACCATAGGCTCCCGGATGGTCCTACGATATGGATCTCGTACGCATCGAGTAGCCCATAGCTCACTCTATCAGATCCGCATTTCATCCCGCTCATATATGCGGTATCCGACTCAACATCGATTTCCCATACTAAAAACCTTCCGCTGCGCAGCCAGATACACTTGAAGAGTATGAGCTACCGATTTATCCTGCAATGCCCGTGCTATATGCCTCTAGTAGCCCTCGCCAAGCTCTATCGACGACAGGTGTCCTTTTCAGATCATCCGCAATAGCGGACTCGACATCGAAATTAGTATGGTAAAACCCTTCCGCTGCGCAGCCATTTACACTTGAAGAGTATGAGCTACGCACCCATCCCTCAATACCCGTGCTACATGCATTCAGTAGCGTTTCCCGAGCTGTATCAGATACAGGTGTCGTTTCCAGGTCATCTGCAATAACCGACTCGACATTGAAATCCCATACAAAAAGCTGTCCGCTGCGCGAGCATATACACTCGAAAAGTATGAGATACCCACCGGTCCTAGAATACCCGTGCCATGTCCCTCCAGTAGCCCTGATCGAACCCTACCAGATACCGGTGTCCCTTTCCAGCTAACTGTAGTATCCGACTCGACATCAAAAATCCCATACAAAAAGCTGTCCGCTGCGGGAGTATGTACACTTAAAAGGTTTCAGCTACCCATCCATCCCGAGATACCCGTCTTATGTGCATTCAGTAGCCCTTGCCGAGCTGTATCGAACGGTGGTGTCCTTTTCCGGCTAGTCGTAGTACCCGACTCGACATCGAAATCACATACAAAAACCTGTCGGCTGCGGGACGATGTACACTCCTCAACGACGAGATGCCCATTGACCGCATGATTCCCCTGCTACATGAGTTCGGCAGCCCTTGCCTTACTCTCTCAGATGCAGGTGTCCTTTCCCTCTCATCCGCAATACCCGACTCGACATTCAAATCCCATACAAAATGTTATACGCTGCGGAACGATGTACACTCCTCAACGACGAGATACCTATTGACCCCATAATGCCCCTGCTACCTGCATCCAGTAGCCCTCAGCTAGCCCTATCGGATCCAGGTATCCGTTTCCGAGTATCTGCAATAGCCGACTCAACATCCAAATCCCATACTAAATGTTGTACGCTGCGGAACGATGTACACTTCCCAACGACAAGACACCCAAGAGTCCCATTATACCCGTGCTATATCCGTTCAGTAGCCCTCGCCGAGCCCTATCTGATGCAGGTATCCTTTCCCAGTCATCTGCAATACCCGACTCAACGTCCAAATCCCGTACAAAAACCTGTCCGCTGCGGAACGATATACAGTCTCCAACGACGAGACACCCACTGGTCTCAGAATACCCATGCCACTTGCATTCAATAGCCCTTGCCGAGCCCTATCAGACCCATATGTCGTCTTGTAGCCAACTGTCATACCCGACTCGACATTCAAATCCCATACAAAAACCTGTCCGCTGCGGACCGATATAAAATCCTCGACGACGACATACCCATTGGCACCAGAATCTCCGTTCCAGCGGTAGTAGGTAGCCCTCGTCTAGCCCTACAAGATGCGGGTATCACTTCCAGATCACCCCCAATATCCGACTCGACATCCCATTCCCCCATACCCCATACAGAAACCTGGCCCCTGGAGAACTATATAATCCCCGACGACAACATACCCATCGACCCCAGAATACCCCCTCCAACGGCATTAGATAGCTCTGGCCAAGCCCTACAAGATGCGGGTAACCCTTTCCATGTCATTTGCAATATCCGTCTCGACATCTCATTACCGTACAAAAACCGGTCAAGATACACTTCTCAATTCTAAGCCACCTATTGGTCCTATGATGTCCGTTCCATCGGCAATAGGCATCCCTCACCTAGCAGTATCAGACCCGTATATCCTTTCCCGGTCACATGCAATACCCGACTCGACACCTCATTTCCCATACTAAAACCCGTCCGCTGCGGACCTACATACACTTCCCAACGACGAGACACGTATGACCCCCAGGATACCCCTCTCATCGTCGATAGATAGCCTTTACCTATCCCTACGTTATGCAGCCATTGGTTTGCCAATACCCCCGACCCTCGACTCGACACCCGATTTCCCATACTAAAACCTGTCCGCTGCGGACCTAGATATACTCCCCAACGACAAGCTACCTATGAGGCCCCGAATACCCGTTATAGCGTCCATAGATAGCCCTTGCCTTCCCCTACAACCGGCGTGTCTTGGTGAATCTATAGCTGCAGTCCCCGACTCGACATCTCATTTCCCATACTAAAACCTGTCCGCTGCGGAACAAGATAAACTTCGACGACAAGCCACCAAATGACCTTGGAATGTCCGCTCTATCGGTAATAGGTAAAGTACACCTCGCTCTATAATATGCGGGCTTTACTTGGCCTATAATCTCGGAATTCAAAATTACCATATTAGACCTTGCGGTTGCGTAACTGGACACACTTTTCAAATCTTGGGATTTTGTAGCTCCCGACTTGGGAGATGACTCGCTTCACTATAGCTATCAAGAGGACATAGCACTGTACGCTGTAAGGTAGATCCCGTAGCTAATATCATTGTCGTCACAAAACGTAAACTTTTGTTACCTGTTGGAACCTGTGATTTCTGACACGGAACCTGCCCTTCAGTATCATCTTGGACTGTCTGATACGGAACCTGCCTTTCAGTGTGCCAACTGGACTGATTCCTGACATGGAACCTTGTCCAGGAGAGGTCTTGCGGGTAACTCCAGTCTTGACTATCCAGTATAGAGGGACATGACACTATACGCTATGAGATTTTCGCGTTCTTCAACAAGTTGACATTGGCGACATACAGCAGAAACCTTTCCTACTGGCTTGGAACCGTCGGATCCAGTGCTGTACCGATTTCTGACCCTACAGGTAGGTCATCCTTATGGGCAACTTTAGTCTTGACCATCAAGAAGCGAAGAGGCAACACTATACACCGTGAGGTAGGGGTTTGATCTTGGCGTTCTTCAAGCTGATATCGGCGGCATACAACATGCTGCAGGCTTAAACCGTTGGGTCCAATGTCTTACTGCTCTATGACGCGGGACCTACAGGTAGGTCATACGGGTAACGAAGCGAAGAGGGAACATGATCCCGTACGCTATAAGGTAGATCCTCTCATCGACAAGCTGGTATCATTGGTGTCACAAAGCGCAAACCTTTCCTGGTGGCTTAAAACCGTTGGATCTTGCTTTTCTGATACGGGACCTACATGTTACCAATCGAGGGAGGTTGTCCTATTCAGAGGGAACCTGATACTGTAGAAGGTAGATCTTCGCATCTGGTATAAGGGCACCATCAAGAGTAGAAGGCTAAGCGTTGACCATAGCAGCTTCACTCTACGTACGACAACCATCACGGCGTATCTCCGACAGCATTGGCGTCACAAAACGCAAACTGCTGGATCTTGCCTTTCAGTATCTCGACTGATTTTTGATACCCGGTTGAGGTCGTCTTCACTATAACTATCAAGAGCTGTGTGCCGTGAGATTGCGTTCTCTGGGTCCTCTTCAGTGTCGTCGACAGAATCCTCTCGACTACCAAGAAGCGTAGATCGCGTTCAACCGTTGAATCCCACCTCATCTGCTACGGAACCTAGCCGAGGAAGTAGGTCGTCTTCCACAGAGCCACGCTCGGGACAACCCGATTCGAATCCCACCGTTACCTCCTAGCTCTCCAGAGTACGTAGACTTGGTAGCGCATCCTCCACTGACACTGTCGCTGGATTTCGACCTCCTTGAAGCTATCGAACTGACAAACCGCACAGGACAGTTCTCCAAACGCTATCTCCTGAGGACCACAGCTATTCCGTGGTGATCCTCAAATCCATAGGAGCCCGTAACCCGATTGATTCGACCTCAACCAAAGCTATCGAAGTGACTCACTGTCGGGAAGGGTTCGCCGAGCGCCACTTGGACATTGTACTAAGGGTCTCGACATCGATTCCATACCTCTCCGATGCTTGGCGTGAGCACTGCGGCCATCCAGAGGTTGTACAGGGCACAGCGCAGTCTCAAAGCCCGGGAACAACTTTACGTCTCAAGGTCAACCACCATTGAATGCCAACCTCCGGAATGTCACTCGGTCAATATCGGAGTCGCCATGCCATACACCTCGTCGTCGTCGCGCACTTGAACGATCCAAGATGGTCACCCCCGAAACTCGGAGACTATCCCGCTATCTTCCCCGGAAGGTCAACCGTTCGTCCCCGTATCGCAACGTGGTCGCCCGCGTAACTCCGATCCCCACGGCAACGGACCGCAAAGCCCGGGGAGTACCGGAGAGGGTGGAGCTGTAGCCGTGTGCGGAACTCCGACCGTATTGAACTCCGGCGACAGACCATGGGCATAGGACACCGCTGGACACGCCGCCGATCAAGCCGTGGAACGTGGAGGGCCATGGGAGTGTACCGCTAAGCATGCCGCCGCTGAAGGAGACCACTGCCGGAGCTCATGGGACCGTTGGGAGCTATGATGGCCGTCTGCGGAACTCCGACTCCGACCGCTGTATCGAGCGACAGGCCGTGCAACGGGACCGCCACCGCAGCGAGGGGGACCATGGGGCACCGCTGAGCACGCCGCCGTTGAACGAGACCGCTGCCGGAGCTCAGCTCGTGGGACCGTATGGCCGTCCGCGGAACTTCGTCACCGACCGCGGCATCGAACGAGCCGTGGAACGGGACCGCTACCGCAACGGGAGGGACCGTGGGGGTCAGGGGCATCGCTGGGCACGCCGCTGTTGACCGGGGGACCGTTGGCGCGGCAACGGGGACTGTGGGGTGACTCCAATCGATCGGCGACGACCGCTCCGAGGCTGTGGGAGGCCGCTAAGCATGCCGCTGTCGTCGCGGGACGCCGGAGGGACCGCTGGGGACACCGGGGAAGGTTGCCGCCGCGATGGGGAACGTGGGCGACGAAGTCCGGAGCGGAACCGCGGGGTTAGGGTTAGGGTTAGGGTTAGGTTAGGTTAGGGTTAAGGGTTAGGTTAGGGTTAGGGTTAGGGTTTAGGTTAGGGTTAGGGTAGGGTTAGGGTTTAGGTTAAGGTTAGGGTGGTTAGGGGTTA